TGCACTTTATTCTTTGTAGGCTCGGTTAATGAGAATTGAATAAGATAATAAATAATTTTATTTACTTACTTACTATTTAACCTTGTCTATTCGAATTTAGTATAATAGAAAATTGGATAACTTTAATTTTTGTTGACAAATAGTCCAAAACCGATACTCCAACCCAACCCAACCGATACTTGATTGGGTTGTGTTTCAACCTTTACACGGGTTGGGTTGGGTTGGGTTAAATTAAATTTTGATCAAACCGATCATGTTGGGTTGAGTTTGGGTTGGGCAAAAACTGATGTAACCCATGTCCACCCCTAGTTGTTATTGTAAGTTGTTTCCAGTTTTAAGAAAGATTTAAAACTTGTTTGGCCTAGTATTTCTAAAAATCTATTTTTGAAAATAACGTTGAACTTGTAACATAAAACTTAAAACGTATTTTTGATATTTTCGGTGAAAATTCTGAAAATACTCAAAATATGAAAACACACAAAATATAAAAATTTTAGAAAATACAATTTGGAAATTTAAAAATATAAAATATTCTAAAAAATAAAAATTGAAATATTCTAAAAGTAAAAAATTAGAAAAATTAGAATCTAAAATTCTAAAAAATTAATTTTTTTAAAAAGTAAAAATATTTTACTTTATAGCGAGAAAAAAAAATTTTAAATAGTTTTTTAAAATGACAAATTAAAATTTTTTTATTAATATTAAAACAATATCTCAAAACAGAAATGAAAATGAACTAAAAATTGAAACACAAATCAAATATGCTCTCAAATTTTGACTTAAATGTTTGAAATTTGGTGCTTTTAAAGTCGATACGAAGAGGGACTGTCTATGTTTGAATTCTCAAATCACTAATGTTATTTGCAGTCGCTTACTACTATAATTAATGTATTCTATCACTAACCGACACATGTATACAACGTAAAACGAATACGGTATTGAGCTACAACAAATAGTATTACCTATCTCAAATACACTTATTATTTGAAGATAATTTTTCAAAATTCAAGTTTGGATAAGTTTCCTCGTTTTTCATCCAATTAAACTATTCACGAAACTTTAATTCGGTCTAGTGATTTTAACCAATTATAGTAGCAAACGGCTACAGAGAAGTGTTGGAAAATGAAAATATTGAATGAAATATGAGTTACAAATATCTCTTCAA